GGGGACACACAATGTAGAAAGTAGGAAATTGGGAAAGGTACACTGGTATAAACATTTCTCTTAACTTTTCTATATTTGAAGTTATTTCAAAATACAAAACAAATTAAAATGAGTAGCACTTAAAACAGAATACAAACTGAGGTGCTGGGAGCTTCGTTTAACAACATGGACTTCTGTCCTGCTGCATTCCATGTGTGGGACTGGGCCAGGAGGAGGGACGCCCAAGCCCTTCTTCTGCTCCCTTCGACCCCGGTCACAGGTAATTTCAGTGTGTGATGTACCTTGTCTCCAGACCGCGTACCACCGCCCTGGGCTCTGTTTTCAGGAACCAGGTAATTAAAGCTTACTTATAAGTAAAAGTAGCCACTCGACCTCCAAGGAGTAGGAGAGTACTTCACTTTATTGATGTCAACAGACCTCACACAGGTCCACGTGTTCTACACAAAAGTAGCCCCGCAGCACAAGCACGTCGAGGCGTCTTACAGCACAGCCCACGTCACAGGTGGGCCCTCCTGCCGCAGAGTCTGCATCCTGCCCACAGGTCACATCGACATACATGGTACATTAACATCAATCTCCGTCCGTATCACCGCCCCTGCCACAGCACGTTTGTATCAAGGTCACATTCTGCAACAAACTAATTCTAATAACAGTGTTTGGAGGGCAACCGCAGGATTTGTGTGACAATGTTGCAGTGATACTATCAGTGACCTAATCCATTACGTGTCTGAGTACAACCAACTCCTGCAGCCACCTTGGGGCTACACCTCAACTGCCAAGGCCTAGTACCCAGGGTGCCAATGCAGAGAGGTCAGAAAACCCCACACACCCCAAGCGCCCCCTCGGTGCCAACGGCCAGCAAAACAAGACCCAGAAAGCAGCCAGACAAGCGGCTTCTCCGCACGGTAACACTCCTCAGTCCAAAGCGAAGCTGGAGGATTTTCCAAGGACTCTACACACGTGGCTCTGGAGTTCAGAAAACATTTTATGCAACAAGAAATGTCGGGCGGCCAGGGTCAGTGCAGGGGGCTGGGCAGGGTGCCCTCACTGCTCGTGGGACAAACGAGCAGGACACCAAGGTGGGTATGACTGACGGCTTTTAAAGCCCACCCTGTGATGTCATGGCCAGTCCTTAGACCAGACAGTCCCACCTCGGCTTCGCTCCTAACACCATCTGCCAAAGTGCTTCCCACACAAAATGCGCTGCACTTGGTCAGGCAGGCACCTCTGCCACCACGGGTGTGAGGACAGAGGACACGTCCTCCCGTGACTCACCTGTGACGGACATGCTCGAGCAGTGACAGGGGCTCGCTGTGGGACAAAGCAGCCGTTCTTGCCCAGGCCTTGTCACCAAAGGACCCGTTAGGAGTACAACGAAATGATCCCGACCCTTTGTCCCTTATGACGCCAGGTGCCCAGGCTGGTGGTGGGTCTTTCCAGCCAAGCCCTTTTGGGAGGCAGCACACACTAGCAGCACCCCCCATGGGGCATAGCCTCATCCCTTGGCCTCTGCCGGGTCAGTTCTGGCAGCCACAGCAGGGTGAGTGGAGTGTCCCAGCAGAGCATCCTCCTGTCCCACACGAACACAGATGGACACGAAGCCCACAGACCTCTGGTTCTGAGGCAGGAGGCTAGGTCTTACTTCGCCGGAGGAGCGTGGCCGCGGGGCCCTGGCCACCCTGGAACTTGAGGCTCTGCAGGTTGATGTGGGCCCCATGCTTGAGCAGCGTCTCCACGGTCTGCGCATGCCTGCCCTGGGCGGCCAGGTGCAGCGCACTGAGCCCCTGCTCGTCAGACAGATCAATGAGATCTGCGCTGACCAGTTCCTCCACCACTTCCGAGTGCCCGTGGGCAGCGGCCAGGTGCAGTGCAGTTTGGTTCAGGGGCCCCCGGGCCAGCACATCCGCCTTCTCCTCCACAAGCAGCTTGACAGTGGCCAAGTGTCCATTCCGAGCCGCCAGGTGCAGGGCAGTGCAGCCCTCTGCGGTCACAGCCTCCCTGCCGGCACCACGATGCAGGAGCAGCCTGGCGGTGCTCGTGTGCCCCGTCTCCGCGGCCACATGCAGGGGTGTCTGGGCCAGCAGGCTGCGGACGTTGACATCGGAGCCCAGGTCAATGAGGATGCGGGCCACGCGGTAGTGCCCGCGCTGAGCGGCCAGGTGCAGGGGCGTCCTGCCGTCCAGCGTCTGGGCGTTCACGCTCACACCTGGCTGCTTGGCCAGCAGCTTGACGATGGGCAGGTGGCCCTGCCAGGCAGCATAGTGCAGGGGCAGCCAGGCGTCCTTCCCCTGCAGGCCCACGTCCACACCGCGGCGCAGCAGGATGCGCACGATATTCTCCTGCCCGTGCTGGCAGGCCACGTGCATGGGTGTCCGGCCCTCGAAGTCCACCTCGTTGATGGAGGCATTCTTCTCCAGCAGCAGCCGCGTGCTGGCCTCGTCCCCATTCTGGGCCGCAAAGTGCAGGGCCGTCCACTGGTCCTCGTCCTTGGCGTTGACGCTGATCTTCCGGGCCAGCAGCAGCTCCACGACGCCCCGCGCCCTGCGCTCCACGGCCAGGTGCAGCGGCGTGGAGCCCTTGCCGTTGGTCAGGCTGGGGTCCGCGTTGTTGAGCAGCAGCCACTTGACGCACTCCTCCTGCCCGGCCTCCACGGCCAGGTGCAGCAGGCTGGCGCTGCCGTCCAGCACCAGGTTCACGTCCTGGGGCTGCAGGATCTTCATCAGCTTGCTGGTGTCCCCCGACACAATAGCGTCCACCAGCTTCCTCTTCTGGACGTCTGTGGTGCCCAGGTCTGCAGGGAGAGGAGAGGCGAGTTCAGCCAGGACGCCGGCTCCTCAAGGCCTGGCTGGGGGTCAGGGAACCTAACCTGGACTCTGGGCCAGCACCTCAGGATGTGCATAGCCTCCAGGTCACACTTCACCTGCAGGGACTGAGCGAGCATCCCACTTTGAGATCTAGCCAGAAGCCACGCCTGAGGTCCTCCTTTGTCAATTTGCAAATTAAAATCACTAGTGATTCCAGTGCCTTGTGTTTGGATGAAGGGAGTAAAACTGGAGGAGCCTGGTGCTTAGGAATGGCAAGACGGCTCGTTTCCCACATTCAGAAAGGGAAGTAAGAGGCAGAAGGAAAATCCCACGCAGGAGCTGGAAACTTGGCCAGCCTCCTGGGACACCCTCCAGCTCCCAGCCTGACCCCTGAACGGCACCTCCTGCACGGGGGACATCACAGGATGTTTCTGGGCCTCATCTTTCAGGACTCTTGGCCCAGTGTTAGGATAAAAGCCTGCTGTTTAACACAAAAATTCAACTCCATGGTTTGAAATCCAGATTCACATGAAATTAAGACTCTTCTGATTCACATGAAAGAAGATCCTCCAGGGGATGTAGGAAGAGAGGTGGGGTGTGGGGCAGTTCTACAAGAAGGGGACCTGCCCAGATGGACTTGGGTTGGCACACGTTCTGAGGAGCCAGGAGGAAACGCTCCCAGGCACCAGGGCGAGGCGTCAGCAGCGCCAGATCTGAACCAAGGCCCGGGAGCACCCTTCTCCAAGGGAGCTACTGATGTTTCTTTCTGGCTACCTTGAACCTGGCCCTGACCACCCTTTTCAGCTCTACTGACCATCTGTTGCCTCTAGTCACTGGGTCCACCCCACCTGTCTGCCACGTGTTTTCAAACCTGCACAGCCTTTTTTCTCCCCCAACGTTCTACCCAGGAGGCTGGTAAGACCCAGAATCCCCTCCTCCAGGGAGATGTCCCCAGTCCACCCCCAAAAAGGATGAGAGCACCTGGGGCAGAACAGTGAAAAACCATCTTCTGAAAACAAGGCCCATTAAAATTAACAGAGCCAGGCCTAGTGGTGCACAGGAGGCTGGGGTAGGAGGATCCCAAGTTTGAGGCCAGCCTCAGCAACTTTTTAAGACCCCTTCTCTAAATAAACAGTACTGGGGGTGTAGCTCAGTGGCAGAGCATATGCCTTGCACGTGTGATGTGTGGGGTTTGATCCCTGCAGCACACATAGCCCAACACACACAGCAGGTGGCTAAGGAGGACTCCTCCTAACAGGCAGTCTACAAAACACCAGAGTGTTGGCGCCCAGGGGACAACCAACCCAGTAAAATGCATGGTCAGCAGCAGGCCCAAGTATCAGAAAGGGGAACGGGTCTGCAGCATTGACACACACAGTGCAGGGCTGGCACCCATGGAAAGGATCACTGGACGGAATTCAAGTTTCCGACCTGCAGGCCTGAAGTCAGCCTCTGCCCCAGGGCTGGCCAGGCAAGACATCACTGCATGGGCAGGTGGTGTGGCCTGTTCCCCTCATGCCCTAAGTGACGCCGGACGGGGCTGCTCTGCCTGTGTGTGCGACTCCGGATCTGTGCTCAATGCACCAGCTATGCCGACACCCCAAGCTGCCTAGTTAACCAAGAGAGGACACAGGACCATCATCAGGGCCAGGAAGTGGACACCTGGTTTTGCAGTTGTCCACTGACTGCAATGGTCACCGCCCACAGAGCCCCGTCATCAGGCTCGTCCTTTCTCAGGACAGAGCCGCTGCTCACCGCCTGTGGAAGGTTCCCGCTCAAAAGACAGCGACAGGGATCCTCTGGACGAGAAGGCGGAGTCCACGGAGGACACTCCCGAGAGCCTCTTGCCGCTGCTGGACGACGGAAGCTTGCACTCGGAGGAGCTGCGGCTGAGCTCCTCGGGGCCCTCGATGGTCTGAGAAATCCCAGAGTCCAGCTGCGACAGCAGCTCCGAGAGGCTGCAGTCGTTATCGAAGGCTGGGGCAGAGGCGCGCTGGAGACGCGAGGACCCGGGCACAGCCTGCAGCGAGGAGGGAGGAGGTGAGGGCCCTGGTCCTCCACCAAGGCAAGGAGGAGAACGCCATCGGGTACCAGGAAGTGATGTGGGTGACGTGACCACGGCGAGACTCGGGGCTGCACAGACCCCCTGGTGCCCAGCACGGACACTGTGAGAAAAGTGTCAAGTCCAGCACAGCGTGCTCCAGAGGCCCGGGCTGAGGGGAGGCACAGCGGGAATGCGGAGGGGAGAGCGGGGCTGGCCCTGCGCGTCCAGCCTGCCCTTGGAGCTAAGTCAGGCTTTGGAGATGTCTGTGGGCAGGCCAGGGTGGGTCCAGCTTGGGGACAACATGGTGATCCAATCGAGTGCACAGCAAGAGGCCCTTTAAAGGGTCTTTCTGCATGAGATGGGAGATTCCTGGCGGGAATTCCCCGGACCATGACCGTTTGTTCCAAAGCCCCCTCCCCCGCCCGCTGACCCTTGGATTCACTCTGACTTGGTCTCCTGGCAGACTGAGCCACATCCACCTGCTGGCTGCCTCTCTTGCCTTATCGGGGACCCAGCCCACCTCTTTTCCAGGCCTCCCGGTGCCTTGGCCCAGGCGCTCACGTGCCCACAGCCCCTTCTCCATTCCGTGTGCCTATCTCCCTGGGAGACTGCCCTGCACTGAAGACGTGCCACAGGCTGCGTACCAGGCTTCACTCTGCAAGGTGCTTCCTTCTTACTGCCCTCCAGGCACTTGGAACTTCCTTCTCCTCTGAGATAACCTGCCACACTCACAGAACAACCAGCTCTGCACAGTGAGGAAGCAGGGGGGCACAGGACCCAGAGCAGGCACCTCCCGCCTGCCCTGCCTAGCAGAGGCTGGGCCTTCTGAGCCCGGTGGTTCAGGTGTCCAGTGAGACCCAGCAGTTCAAGTGGGCGCCCACACTGTTCACACAGCCCCTGGCAGGACACAGGGAAGGAAGGGCAGCAGGAGGGCAGATGAGCTTGGGGATGCCCAGGGACCTACACTGCCACAGAACTGGGCACAAGGCGGGCACAAGGCCGGCTCAGGGAGGAGGTGGCTGGCCAGGGTCTGCAGAGGCAGGGGTGGGCTGGAAGGCCCCTCACCTCGCTCTTGGGCCCCGGCGGGCTCTTCCCCGCTGGGTCTGGAGTTGGCTCTCTCACCTCCTCGTCAGGTTTTTCACAGAGGATCTCGGTTTCAGAAGTAATTTCTTTGAGGGGAAAAAGACAAAAAGGAGCATGTCATTTGATTAACAGTTTCTACACAATTCCAAAGGGACACAGACACCCTAAAGTCTCCAAGTAGCAGGTTGAGCCAGATGCCATCAGCACTGAGATCAGTCAGCAGAACCCAGGACCCCCACGGGGCAACCCACCCACCAGGCCTGGCCTGCCTCGTGCCACCATCTGGAGGGCTCACCAGACACAGGGCAAGGCCGCCTCGATGCCCTGCCAACAGCAGTAGCGGTGAGCCCTGCCCTTGTTGTCCCCAGGTTGTCCCCCTGCATGCTGTGAGAGCAGGGACTGCCTTGGATCCACCAGGGCTGACTACCCAAGGCCCACTTCTCTGTGCCAGGAGGGCAGGACCCCAGGAGAACGGTGCCAAGAGGCCCAGTCGGGCAGTCTCCTGAAGACACCACGTTGTGTCTGACCTGAAATCATGGGCTCCCCTGGGCAGCAAGCCCCGTCCTGGCCAGGAGCAGGGGTGGGGGTGGTGAAGGCAGCCACTGGGTCCAGCAGCCCCCCTTGGCCCTGACTGCTGGAGGTCTGAGGCAGGGCCAGGTGACTGGACCCCGCGTCCTTGTGCACCTTGTCCCCACCAGGAGCCTGGTCATCACCTCGGTGGCAACAGCAAAGCCATCCAGAGCCTCGCCCCAGGGAGACGCAACACTCACCCTGGAAGGTGGGCCGTTCCCGCGGCTCCTCGCGCCAGCACCTCTGCATGAGGCGCAGTAGGTTCCCGCAGGCGCGCGGCCGGGGCCTACAGATGGGGGGCAGCTCCGGGCGGTGGCCCTTCACCACCTTCACCATGATGTGCAGGATGTTCTTCTCATCTAGGGGACAAGTGCAGCCGTCAGGGCACCATGCTCCACCGTGCTCCACCATGCTCCACCGCCATTCTCCTCCGCCCTGAGGGGAGGGCCCGAGGCAGCCCCAGGGCCGGGTTCTTCTCAGGCTGGCCTCCCGGCTTCTGGTTCCCCACAGTGTTCCTGCCCCCGAGTTTCCAACAAGCCCTCCACAAAGGCAGGTGCCATCAGCAGGGGCAGAGAGCTGGCCCACACTGACAGCTGCCGGGACTCCACGCGGTCTGTCCCACACCATCACTGTCTTCAGTGTCTGCAGGTATTTCCATGACAACACAGACTTCAAACCCTCTAATGAAATGAAAGTCAAGTCCACCTCCGGGAGACTTCCTACTGCCAAACAGGACAGAAAACGGCCTGGCACCTCACGCGGTGCTGCACCTTGCTCCCCGCCTAGGAGGCTATAAAGCAGCAAGAGCGCGATCCTCCCACTGGCCCCGCACACCTGGCTTCAGGTGTCAACCTGCCAGACAATTTCATGTCCAACTGGCAGGCTGCGCATTACAGTGCATTCAGCGTGGGCCTCGGGAAGGGCAGCCGGGAACAAAGTGCAGTGGTAGCCAGAGGACAGGTAGGACCTCTTGACCGGGGTCTGGGACGTCCACAAGGCTCGGGATCACCCCTGCCTGGCCCCTTTTCCACACACTGGCCGAGTCTGCCTCGACGGACTCCCAGGCCTGAGGGTCATCCAGAGACCCTTTCTCTTTCCCAGACCTGAGCCTGGCACAGGCTAGCAAGATGTGTATTTTTTTTGGCATCTTGGTCACACCACACAATGTCATGAGTAATGCAGAGAAAAAGGCTCTCCTCTCCGATGCAGTAAAAGCTACCCAGACTTTACGTACTTAACCCAGGTACTGAAATTCCGAGGAAAGAGGTCACAATAGGGATTGCCTAGCTGGGGCAGGTGGGGGAGCATTTTCTGGTCTAGGAGGCTGGTCCAGCGTGTGGACACCCTAACTACTACTGGACCACATGTTCACAGGCAGTGTGGAGAGCAAATCTGTCATGTGTATTCACAATTCCTTTCTTTTTTTCCTTTAAAAAAGAAAGAAAGAGAATCGGCTGAAAAAAGGCAAATCCGCCGACAGAAAGCAGATGGGGGTTGCCAGAGGCTGGGAGGGGATGGTGGCCGGGATGAGCCGGAGTGACCACATGGGCACAGGCTCCTGCTGGGGTGGCAGGGGTGTCTGGAACCAGACCGTGATGCTGTCTAACTGTGAACGTCTTCGATGTCACAGAATCACACATTTTAAATGGTGAAAATGACATATTTTGTTACGTATTCCACACAAAAAAATTAAATGGCCCCTAAGAATGGACCCCTTCGAATCTCTCTTCCTGTGTGTGTCCTAGATGTAATTTCCTGCCTGCAAACAACTCTGCCCAAGCACCTTGTCAGCGTATAGAAAAGCCGATAGTGGGGTGGCCTTGCTGGGTCACAGGCACCACCCCAGGGCTGAGAAGGGACCAGGAAGATGCCCCACAGTCCAGGAGACGTTGCCTGGCACCTCGTGGGCAGCGCCACTCACCTGCGAAGGGCTTCTTCTGTGTGAGCACGCCCCAGATCACGATGGCAAAGCTGGAAGAGAAGCCAGGTGCGTCAGCGTGGGCTCAGGACCCTCAGCTCAGGTCTGGGGCGCGGTCACCCTGCAACGAGCTGGAGAAGCCCCTCCAAGGCTCCCAAGGAGGCCCCGGGACATTTCTCCTGCCTTTCTGAAAGGGGAAGCCATGATGGATGACACCCCCTCATGGGCTCAGGTGGGAACGGAAGACCTCGTGGCTGAGCCGCAGTCTTCAGGCGGCTGGCAGGACCCTGGAGGGCTCTCGGGGGAGCGGACGTTACCACCTTCTCGCCCGCCGGGCACAGAGCAGGTGACAGGCGTTTGCTGGCGTCCTCACGGCCCCCTGCTCTCTAGGGTTCGGACTCTAAGGACAGTCGTGGAGCACTGGGCAAATACTCCCAGTGGTCTCCGAGATGTCAGAGGATGGCTAAGGAAAGGGCACGGAGAACTCCTAGGTGGCCCCTCTGTCCCGAAGCCCTTTGCTGGCCACTCGGGACGCACACTCACATGTAAATTACTCTAGATACACCAAAAAAGGGGCCCAATCCAGTGCATTTAAAAAATTAAAATTAAAAAAGGGAGTCCAAAGACTCACCCCACGAAGCGCGGAGTTTGATAACGGTTACTGACAGAGAGCTCACACTAACTGAAAACTCAGCTCTAAACAGAGCACCCTACCTATTCTCCCCGACTCTGCAAGCCATGATGGTCCCCGAAGGGCCAGGAGCCGCAGCTCCAGGCAGGGCAAGCTCACGTACCAGGGCAACTGTCAAACCAGTCAGCCAGGACCCAGGTGTCGGTGGCACGAGGGCAGAGCCCAAGCAGTTCCTGGTGCGTGGCTGCACCCTCCCTGCCTCCGTTTTCTCCGTGAGATTAACTCTCACAACTTGAAAATGAAAGGAATCTGGTAACCTAGCAACCAGGTCCTGCCCATGCTCCTCCATCGCAGCCAGGTGACCCCACAAGTGTCAGCAGCTCCCTCCTCAAAGTTCAGAGGAAAATGAACTGTGAAGAGCCCACACCCACGGGCACATGGGCACGGGGACCACTTGAAGCAACAGGTTTTTCTGACAATAAAATGCACGTTTCATAAAAATGCCACAGGAGACCCAGCACAGCACCACTGCCTGCTCCACAGGGAGCCAGGCCAGTCCTCACCCTGCCGCCAGGAGCGGCTCATCTACAGCCAGCAGCACCCACTGGGAAGAGGGGTCTCTTGTACCCCGGGAACCTGCCCCCAGGCTAACATCCCCAGCCCAAAAGACACACTCCTTTCACCTGGACTGAACCCACTGCTGATGCGCACCCAGAGTCGTTCTGAAAGCCCCTGTTCAGGACAGGAAGACACGGGCTCAGGGTCCCCAGAGGGGCCCACAGGGATGGGGCAGGGCATCAGGCACCTGTACACATCGTGCTTGGTGTCAAAGAGCCGGCTCTTCTCCCGGATGCGCTCTGGAGGGAGGTAGGCGATGGTGCCGAACAGGCCATCCATGCTCAGGTCGTGAGAGTGGGACAGCCCGCTGCACTTGGCCAGCCCAAAATCGGAAATCTGAAACAGAGCAGAGGGGAGCAGGTCAGCCCTCCATGGGGCCAGGGGCAGCGAGCTGGCAGTGCCCCCGAGCCAGACACCGTGCCCCCAGCTCACTCCTGCAGGTAGCCCAGCCTGGGCAGGCGGGAGACAAGGCAGCTCAGACAGAGCGTCTGCAGGCTGAAGAGCCACCACCTGATGGATGGGAAGAGATCAGGGTTTAAGGAGAGATTCCCTGGGCAAGGAACTCAAGAACCACAGGCCCACATCGCAAGGCAGCAGGTCTGCCCTGTGGCTGACACTCCCCGGTGGCACCAAGGGAAGAGCAGCGCCCAGGGTTTACAGGTGAAGGAACACACGTGACGGGCTGGGCCAGCTGGTTGTGCAACCCTCCAGCTGGGCTGGCAAGTGGCAGCAAGTCCTTTAAAGGGCAACACACCTCCAGAGGCCCTTTAAATTAGCAAGCACAGCACGTACCTCGCCTCGACCCCACGGGGCATGCTGTTTCTGCCCAGAACGTCTGTTATCAGCAGACGCTCAGTGGTGAGCCCCCAGCCCCCGCCACTCAGGGACCCCCACCCTTGACTCCCTTGGCAGAGACACTTTTATGGCTGGCTTACACCCACTGAGGACCACACAGGCCTCTGGGAGTGGCCCCTCTCCTCCAGGCCCCATGAAACGCTGCTGGAACCAAGCCACAACTCTCACTGGACACCCAATCCTCAGGGAGAAGTTCCCTGTCTCCTCTTCTTCAAGTGGAGCGTTTTTAAGCCTTGTAAATTAACCTTGGGCTCCTCCTAAGACACACCCATCACCCAGGCTGACCATGACCACAGGGAGCCAGGCCGGTCCTCACCCTGCACAGCAGGAAGACACTGGTGGGGCCAGGTCAGTCCTCGCCCCTGCAGCCCAGCTGAGCGGCGCCCAGGCTGGAGCTCACCAGGCCCAAGCGCCCACTCTGGGTCCCCCAGGTTTTGTGGGCTCAACCAGCCTCAGGCCTCAAGAGAAATCCTGAGATGTCCGGGAAGAAATTGCCACTTCCCCAGACAAAACCATCACCCTGTCCCGCAGCTCCGTCCTGAGAAGCCCAGCGCTGGGAGGCAGGGAAAAGCACTTCAGCTCTCAGAACAGGTTTAGCGACAGAGAAAACGTCTGTTCGATGACCACTGGTGGCCTACCAGGCCTTAAATTCAGAAATGAAGATAGGCTGGGATTTAGGGAGCCCGGTGCTCCATGCTTCTCTCTGAACACAGCCATTTCTCCTCATCTCTGTCACTGACCCAAACAGACCAGCCACTTCGAGGTACACTTGGTGACAGAGAGCAGCACACATTCTCTGCCCAAAGCCTGGCATCAGATGCAGCCTGGGAATACGGAACTCCCAGGGGCACCTTCACCTGGCCAGGCCCTGGGCTGCCCCTCACCCCGGCTCTCGCCACAGATCAGGAGCAGCAAAGGCCTCCTGGCCCACGAACACTCACATCGGCATCTGACTCAGAGTCCTGAGAGCTCAGGGCTCACAGGGGCCCCCAAGAATGTGGCCCTTCAACCTCAGGCCCAGCTGGACAAGAGTAATAAAGTGGCCCGTTGCTGTTGAACAGGAAGGGCACTTCAAACACAGCGGATCCTGCCCCCATGCCATGACGCTCCGAATAGTCTGGCCTGGGCGGAGGGGTGAGCGCGCAGCCTGTGACCCCACCGTATTACCCAGCATCATCTCAACATGGAGAGCTGTTGTACCCAACACAGAGTAATATGAGGCGACAACTTAAAACGTACTATATTTCACACACTCGGCAGAACAGATGGCTGCCGTGAGGTTCTGGCTCTAATCCCCCTGGGTACAGAGAGGCAGCACGAGTCTGAGCCACAGGAAGCGGTGGATGGCAGCCTGCGGCTCATCCCGGTCCACAGTATAGATGTCCACCCACCAAAACCGCCTGGAAACCTGGGGCCAACGCACCCGAGCCTCAGAGCCTCAGAGCCTGTCTCAGGCCCCGGAGCAGCACTCCTGACCGGAGCGCAGCTGCCTCCTCACACCTGCTGGTTGTTGCTTTGTTTTTTCCTCCCATTTCGGTGCTGGGGATCAAATCCAGGGCCTGGTGCGTGCTAGGCCAGTGCTCTGCCACAGAGCCGCACCCCAGGCCCCAGGCAGCTGTTTCTAAGACTCTGTTTGGGGCTTCTCAGAGGCGACCAAACCTTTCCTGGGGCCTTTCAGGGTGCACTCAGGCAAGGAAGACAGCTGTCCTGTGCCAGCAGAGAAGCATGGGGTCATGCCCTCTCGGAGGACCTGCCCATCATTCTAGCAGCTTCTTCAAAAAAATCTGCATTAGGAATGAACACCCCATCAGGTCCAGCCCTTCAAAACCAAGGTCTGTAAGAAAGGGAGGGGAGGCCCTCGAGTCCACACCAAAATGGCCTGCAGGGAAGGCAAGCCCAGTGTGTCCAGGGACACAAGGACTAGACCCCACTCTGGGCTCACTGAGCAAGCACTGGGTCTCTGCGGTGCGACTGCAGCTGGCGAAGACGCCTGAGTGAGCATCTGTGCCTGACCTGAGGCGATGACCTGCTGGTGACAAGCCACCAGCCAGCAGCTGAACCTGCTAAGCACTCTGGGTGGGCATCGAGCTGAGCACTCACCAGTCACTGACCCCTGATGACAACCTAGAGAAGGCATGATCTTGCCGCTCCACTCCCCACCCAGCTGACAGGACCGGGGGCTGCACCCCAGGCCCACACCCAGAAGAAGGACGTCACTGTGTCCTCCAAGGAATGCCTACCCCCCACCCCGTGTGCATTCCACACCCCTGTTAGAGAGGCAGGAAAGTGTGGAAAGGAGCGAGGGGCACAGGTGCCCAGCCAGGCCACGGACAGCCCGGGGGCTTGCGAAAACCCACCCAGCAGTCCTTAAAGACCAGGTCACCTTCAGGCACCCTCTATGTTAACCCAAGGACGCCTGCGGCTTTCCCTGCCCACACGCCATTAAGCCCAGAACCTTCCTGAGGTTGCTTGGGCTGTTTCCTCCACACCCAGGGTCTTCTCCCCACCTCTGACACAGTTCAGCCTGCCCCCGACGAAGGCCTGGCTGGACACCTGCACACCCTGCCTCACTCCATCCTGAGGGATTGTCTCGTGCCACTCACTGCATCTTCCTAGTCATGCCAGACGGCAGCGGGACAGGCAGGAAATCAAGGCTCTGCAGCCCCACAGAACGGGTTCCAGCTCATGCTCCACACCTTGCGGCTGGTCATTCTGGTCACTAATCTAACCCCTGTGGGCCCCAGCTTAGCAAGTGGCCACCATCCACACTTTACCTCTACTGTGGAGCCGTCAGTCCTGCATAAGCCCTGCTGCGGAGCAGGGGCCTGTCGTCCTTCTCTTTCTGGTGCAGAATGCATGTTTGAGAACAAAGAACTTCACACTCACTGGGCCCTCAGGACCTGCACTCCCCTGCCAACCACAGGGGACAGGAGCTGGGACGGCAGCTGCTGAGCCTACAGAGCTCATTCCCTCACACCTGGTCCCGTGCCTGAGTCTTCACCGCCCCGACTCCTGCTCACGTCACAGCAGGTGCATTTTTAGTTAAAACCTACGGTGGAGTGAGGCCCACCTAAGAAATAGCTTATATTCACTGTCCAGAATGAAAATCTGCTTCTCCACCTCCCTGCAGGAGGGGCTCTGTGAGTGCCACATGGGCCATCGCACACCAGGCCCACCCCAGAGCCCAGGGGCAGGGCGGGCCCTGGGTTCAGGTGTCTCCTAAAGGCCCGGTCAACAGGAAGGGCCAGCAGCGCTGTGCAGACAGGAACAACAAAGAGACCGAGCCACGGCCGTGCCCCTGCTGTGCCCTGCCCCTCAGGACCACTCCGGCCCTGGCTCTCGGCTCCTTCTCTCCCTCATGGATCTGTTTTCCTGCATGGAAGAGGACAGAGGGGCCCACGTGTGACTCAGGCCTCCTGTGAGTGACACTACCACCACAGGGCAAGAGCCCAGGACAGTGCCATCCAGGGCCAGTGGTGACACAGCCTGGAGTCAAAGGCCATCCAAAGGAACAACATTCAAGACGTACAGCCTGACACAAACTGGCCATGCTAGAACCAAGTCCAGGCGCCGCAGGAGGCCGGTCAGAGGCTCACACCTTCCAGGTTTTATAAACTTATCAAAGGGGAAAAAAAGTAAAAACTGGCCTCCCAGGGCACCAAGTTCTTTCCCACAGAATACCTCCTTCCCCAACCTCGCCATAGCCTACAGCTGCACCCCAATTCCCTGGCCACAGACCAGCCACCCACTTCCCAGGGCACGGTGCTGCCCACCTTGACGTGGTAGTGGGCATCCAGCAGGATGTTTGCGGGCTTCAAGTCCAAGTGCAGGAGTGGCGGGGTCATGCAGTGCAGGAAGTTCATGCCCACGGCTGTCTCATGAACAATCCGAAAGCGCAGGTCCCAGGGCAGTGGCTCCGAGGCCAGCAGCTTCTCCAGAGAGCCCGTCTCCATGTACTCCATGACCAGGCCCACGGGCTCCCGGCAGATGCCGTACACAGGCAGGACGTAGCGGAACTTGGCCATCTCCATCTTCTTGGCTTCCTCCAGAAGTTCCAGGCGCTCCCTGCAAAAGTTCAAAGGAGTGAAGGGGGCGGCAGGCCCTGTCCAGCCAGCCACGGTCAGGGCACTCACGGAGCCCACCAGTGCCACAGCCCTAACACTGGAGCCCCCAGGCTGCTCCAAGTACACAGGAGAGGAGCTCCAGCAATTATCTGGATACCCGCAGGCCACCTGGGCACCCCGGGTTGGAGCCTGGCAGCGGACACTGCCTTCTCTTGGGGAGGGAAGACAGTGTGGGCTGAAAGTTGAGACTAACCCTCTACCAGAGGAGCCCACTTGCCCTGTGAAGGCCGAACCCACCCGCACACTAGGGAGCAGCAGATCCAAGCAGGGCCGGGCCCTCACTCTGCTGTGGTGAGATACAGACACCAACACGGCACGCGCCCTCCTAACTGTTCCAAACCCCCGGCCAGCGGCACCACACACTTCCTAAAGCTGCATGACCATCACTGCCTCCTACGCCCAGAACTTATCTCCCCAACAAAATCTGCACCTGTTAGACAGTAAAGCCTCCCCAGCCCCCACCCTATTCTCAGTCCCTACGACTTTGCATCCAGGCACCTCATGTGAGTGGAATCACAAAGTATCTGTTCTTCAGTGTTTGGTTATTTCACTAAGTATGTTTTCAAGGCCTAATTTGTTAGACCACTTATCAAAATGTCCCTCATTTTCATGGTTGAATAATACGCCGTGGTAGGAACACCCTACACTGTGTACGACCCAGACGGTTCCCACCTCTTGGCTTTTGTGAATGATGCCAACCTGTGAACACAGCTGGGGTACCAATGAGCCTGAGACCCACTCTCGTTCCCTGGGAGCTGCGCTGGCTGTGTGTCCCACCTGTGGAGAAGCCACTGAGCGGCCGTCCTGCCTGCCACCTGCTTCTGCGTGGACTTTCACCAGCTCCAGCCTCTGTACACACCGGCTGTGCGATGAGCACTTGCAACAGACCCGCAGCCGGCAAAGCCAGGAACCTCCGTTCTCCAGCCCCGATGGGCGCTTGCCAGCCCCTGGCCAAAGGTCACTCAGAGGAGAGTGCAAAGCAGCAGGCCGTGCCAGGGTCAGGGGTCAAAAGTCTTGGCGCACATACATTGAGGGGAAAAGGCCAGATCCAGGAGGACATGACCTGGCCATGCAGGATCTGGGCCAGTGCTCTACAACATGGACCCCAGGGGCACCCTGGAGGCTGGTGGATCCAGGCGCCCAGGCCTCGCCCCTTGAGAACAGGTGGGGGTTGGGACAGCCACTTTCCAGTCACAACAAGCTCCCCACAGGGAAAGTCCAGAACATGCCTGCAGCGCCCTCAAATACCGAGCTGAGAGCAGGGCCACTCAGTGTCCACACACCTCCCGTGCAGACTGGAGCAGCCTTGAGGTAACTCTCGGGACTGCAGGGTCCAACACAAGCTCCTGCCCATAACTCAGGGCCCATCACCATAGCTCCACCCTGGGGCTCTCCTGGGGCTTGGCACAGCCTGCTCCTCCTGGTCCAACCCCAGAGCAGCTGTGGGGACACTCCTGTGCCTGCTCCCACCTGGAGCCTGATGGAGAATTCCAAACTGTGCCAACAAAAGAGAGCCACTCCTTGACCATCTGACCTTCTTGTTGAGACAGCAGCCATCTCCCGGGCTTCCTGACAGCTGTAAAGACGCCCATGCGGGAAGGATGGCAGGTGGGCAAGAGGAACCCCTGGATTCTTACCAGCACTGAGCTCTCTCGTACGTACCCACAGGCAGCTCCCATAAAGCTCCAGAGGGGCTCAGAGGGGCGAGCCCAGCCGTGTCGGGGGCTGGAGAAGAGGTTAACATACTGAACGTGCAGGTCACGTGACCACAAAGCAAGCAGCTCAGCGCAGCTGGCTTTCCTAGCACTCTGGCTAAGTGACTACAGCAGCGAGAGGGGGCAGGCCCCTTGTGCTGTGAGCCCCTGGGCGGGTGAGGCGCTGTCCACACTAGGGTCCTCATAGCCCCGGGGCCTGGCCAGGCTCAGGGACCCAACAGGGGCAGATCCCGGAGCACCATGGGCTGAACCTGACTCGGAGACCAACAGTCCAGACCTGGCCAGTGGCACTTCCGACCTTAATCCCAGACTCCACAGGCACTGAGCGGGGAGAACGTGTCCCCTCTGCTGGGTCCCTTTCTCTCCCGGGAAGTATCACTCACTGAAGCAGGCCCCAGCATGAGGACCACCCTCACCAGTCACCAACTCCACGGGTCCTGGTGTCACCAGGTCCCAAGGATCACCAACTGGGACCTGCTACCTGCTCTGCTTCAGTTTTGCATCTTGTTGAGAATCAAAATTATTAGGCTGGGGCTGGGGCTCAGTGGTAAAGCACTTGCCTCGCAAGAATCAAAATTATCATATGTCTTTTTCCTACTGCTCTTATTTTCTCTTAAAAAGTGGCCCATTCGTACGTCTCCCTATTGTCCCATGGTGCCAGATGGCTTTGGCACAAGTCCTTCTGCAGAACTTCCAGGGTAAATTGAGCAAGGGACTGTCCTGAGGTCTTGAATGGACAGTTCAGGTATTTATAGGCTGGTCAGCCACTTTTCCACCTGCCACATACATTCCAAGTAGGGCCCCTAGACGCCAACCTGGTGATAACGAACAGAGAACCAAGCTGTTCAGTTGAGACTATCCTATAAAAAGGAAGCTCCGAGCCCCTCTGCAAACTGTTGATCTGTTTGCCCACCAAGCTTAACACGCGCAGCCCAGGCAGACCACACCTCCCACTCACCCAACCCCTCCCACCCACCTCCTCTCTGTAGAACCTAAAAACAGCACCCAAGGTAGGTTTACTCCAGAAAGCTGATCCTAGGCTGGGTCCCCAGGAGCCAGCACCAGCTTGGGCACTTGGCCTGAGGGAGCCCAGGTTCCGGGCATTTCAGGGAGGAGATCAGCTACTCTGCAAAACAAGCCGCCATCTCCGGTGACAAAACCACCCTCAGGTGCAGACAGGGCTGAGCAAGCACAAGGTGGCAGAGGCCCTGGCTCTGCTCAGAAGGGTCGGTATTTCACTGGAACTTTTTATACCATTTCTTATCTACTGGACCCTGAGGCAAAGTCCCAAGGTCCCCACCCAGCAGCCTCTCTACAGAGCCCCAGGATGCACACCACGGCCCACAGGCTCAGCGGCTCCTGCCCTCCTTGGGTGCATTTGCAGCTCTGGAGGCCTGGCAGGGCCTGCTGGAGGCCGGGAGGGCACTCCCCAGGAGAGCTGAGGTCCTGGCAGACTCACCATCATTTTTTGTCCACAGCAATTATTATTATACATTTTCCCCCTAAGCAGTGTATCCAGTGTCTGGCGACCACACAAAAGGAAGCATAGGTTTATAATCATTACTAATACTTTAAATATTGGAGGGATTTTAGACCAGTCCCCAGAGCTCAAGCCTCAGTGCTGGGGCAGGGGTGGAGCCCAGACGTCCAGGTGCCCAGTTCAGGGCACCATGGTTCACAGCAAAGTGGACAGACATCAGTTTAATTAAAACAGGGCCGGGTCCTTGTCCTGCCTCCCGCTTCCCTGCTGGGGAAAGGGCTGCCGATTCTGGGCTTCCCAGCAGAAAATACCCCACCCAGGCCCGACACCCTATGGCTCCAGATGGAAAGATCTCAGCATTGACAGGACCAAGTTTCTTTTAAAGACACTTTAAAAGAACCTCAGAAATGGTGTCAGGCCAGTCATTTCTCCAGCAGGCCCCTGCCAGCCCTCCAGAGCTGGCTGACACATTGGTAGATAAGCCACAGGGTTCCTGCAGCTCAGTCAGAAACTCCAAAGACAAAAAGACCAGCTGGAGGTGAAGGAGGCCGAGGTCACAGTAGAGCTAGAGAAGGGGGAGGGGGGAGAGCTGGAGAAGGGGGAGGGAGAGAGGGTGCGCAGCCGCACCGGGCTCCAGCAGCCTGGGAACCCCCTGGGCAGAGCGCAGCCTGGCCCCTCCTGTGAGTCGGGAGCAGCCTCTCTGCCAGGGCTGCTGCAGGGCAGTCCAATTACCTTCCCAGGGAGCCTCCGAGGGGTTCCCACACTGCTATTTTTAAAACTGACAGGAATTGGGCTTGTCCGACTGTGGGCTCTGTAGTTACAAACCCCGGGTTTGCTCAGGCTCGCCCGACCAGCCAGGCCCAGTGCATAGCCGCTGCCTGTGCTCCCTTACTGTGAGCCTCCCCAGGGCTGGGGGCAGGGCAGGGAGGAATGGGGTCCTTGGAGTCACTTGCTCTCTCTGAACAGGACCTGCACTCCACCCTACATGTACCCAGGAACCCCCCATTTAGAGTCGGTTGAGGAGGCCAGGCACACACCCAGAGCTGACAGGTTTCCCAAAGCACCAAGCCAGGTAAAGAGAAGCTCAGGAACAGGGACCCCTTGGCAAAAATATCCTGGCCCCCAGGAAGCCTTGAAATGGGTACAGGGTGCATCTAACAAGCACTGACCCTCTCTGCATAGACATGCCTGGGCACAAGGCCTGGGGCGGCCTGCAGGTGTGACCATCAGGGCTGGCCAAGGGTAGATAAAGATTGGGGCCAGGGCAGCATGTGCCTTGAGGGGTAAGCAGCCCTGGCCAATGGAAATCAGCCTGGCCCACAACTGTACCTGTGGTGGGACCCCTAAGCAACAGTGGAGTTGGCCATACAGTCCAGTCGCCCTGGGAAGAGGCCCAGACCACTGGCAGAGGTGAGAGGTTCCATCCTCAAGCAGACAAGACAAGATGGGAGGTGAGGGGATGGATGGGGCCTGCACATAGACCCCAGGAAATCCCCTTCCTCCAGGTCACACCTTGCAAATGCAGTGCAGGGTGGGCACCAAAAGAGCACGGGGGGGGGGGGCATCGCTGGACAGACAGCACCGGACAGACAGCACAACAGTTATTTCAAGATTTAGAAGCAACTGGCAACCTGAGGCTGAGGCACGAGGATCACAGGTTCAAAGCCAGCCTTAGCAAGTAGTGAGGCTGTAAGCAAGCTAGGAGACTCTGTCTCAAAATAAAAAGGGCTGGGATGCAGCTTAGTGGCTAAGTACCCCTGGGTTCAATCCCTGGTACAAAAAAAATAAGAAGCAGCAACTGGCAAGATTGCACCACAATCAGCCCCCCCCCCCGCACCACAGCAGGAGGGCTATACATCCCCATTACCCATGTTGGTGACAACCCTAAGGACTAAGCTGACACCCTGCAGGGCCTTCCCACCTCCTCTCTAGCAGAGAGGCCCGGTGGCAGATGCATACTGCAGCCTGCACCACCCCAGGCCAAGGGCAGCAAGTGAAATGCCTCCCAATGGAGCCTCTGACCTCCACCTAGCAGCCAACATGCCAGCACCTGCCTGCTTTGGGCAGGGCAGGAAAGGCTTCCAGTTAAAGGACAAAACACTTTTCAACTACAAGATCCTAAGTGACCCATCTCCAGGGGAGAAACCCAGCTTCATCTTCAAGCCACCCTAGGAACAAGGGGTTGCTCCCAGGCTGGGACATCACCTGGGCCTGTGCTTGTTCACTTTGCCCTCCCAAAACAGAAACTGGTATTCAATCTTGGCTGGTGAATAAAGCCCATTTTGGCTTGAAACTCCATCAAATTAACATGCCCAAGGGCATAAAGTGCCCCCATGAAGAGGCATATTCCAGAACTAGCTGCTGGGTGGTATTCAGAGTGGTTGAATTTCCTCAAAATAACCACAGCGCCCCTCCCAGCCTGAGAGGTTCCCAAGGTGGGAGAGTGGAGGCCTGAGCTCTGCACAGCCTCAGCAAGCCATCTCCCTTGAACTGCAGGGTGACATGAAATTTGCTCTCGGTGGATTTCCCTGGCCAAGGATGAGGGTGCACAGGGAGGGGACAGGGCCTCTCACCAGCCAGCCATAGCTCCTGGAGGCTGGGACCGCACACACCACCACCTATAGGAGAGCCGAGAGGTGAGCCCATCACAATGTCCCAGCAGGGGAACCCAGGTCTGAGGCAGCCAGGTGGAGTCTAGAAAAAGCTGCCTGCCGCATCTGTCCCAGGAGGCTGGGTGGAAACATGGGAAAAGGCTTCCACATGGAACGCTTGAAAAATATGCTACAGTGAAGCTTATGAACTCAACTGCAGAGGATGAATGAGGGGGTTCGTTTTCAAGAATCTTCCCCCCATCCTACCCCCACAGACCACAGTCCGACCCACTGGATCCTCCGGAGTGGTGGGGTTCTCATTCCTTTGAGCAGTCCTGCCAGGGAGGGGCGGGCAGGCAGGCTTTTACACAGGGACAGAGGCCCATGGCAAGGACGCAGAGCCGGTTAACGCAAGGCCCTTCCGCCAAGGCTCGCCTTCGAAGTGAAGTCCCCGAAAACTAAAGCGTGCGTCGAGGAAGTGCTGGGCAGAACAAGGCCCCGGCCCCGACGACTCTGGCCAAGCCCGGACCCTCGGGGCACGACGCCAAGTGCCCAAGTGCCGGGCGTTGAGGACGCTTCGCCCGAGCCAAATCCGTGCTTCCGACCGAAATAATTACCGTCTTACACCAATTTGTGCTCCTATGTAAATTACTGAGTAACTCGAACGGAGCCTACCTACACTCACAAAGCCCAGATGCCCACACGGCAATTTTTCTAAGCCCGGAGCAGACCGCAGCGCCCAGATAGATCCCAGGAGGGGGGGGCACGTCCCGGGGGCGCTGATCTAAGGTGCAGGGCGAACTCGGGACCCCCAAATTACGGGGCCGCTCCGGCCAGGAACCGGGATGGGTCAAGCAGAGCGAATAGGCAGTGTACTTCTCGGCAAACGCGGCCCCCGAGGTCCCCCGCGGGGCCGCAGCCCGGCACCTGGACGAGCGCAGCCAGACCCGGAGCTCCACAAAGCACCCCCGCGTCCTCCCGTCCCACGCCTCTGGGCCTCTCCCGCGTGCGGGTTCCCCCCGAGGCTGCTCCGGAGGAGCCCCCGATAGACTGGAGAGCCCCCCCGAGTTCCAGTCCCTCGGCCCCGGCCGTCGCCGTGCGCCACCGAACGGCGCGGTCCGCCGCCCGCCCCAGCGCCCCGCCCGGCCGCTGACCTGTCGTCGACGTGCAGGCTCGGGGAGCACTTGATGGCGAGCCACGTCTTCCAG